CAGGGAGCCCGATGTGGGACTTGATCCTGGGACTCCAGGATCATGACCTGAGCCGAAGGCAGTCGCTTAACCAACTGAGCCACCCAGGCGCCCCACAAATATATATTTTTATTGCCACCTCTGTCATTTGAAGCAGAAATGTTGCATATAGTTGTTTAACTTAACCATACATCAGAGAGTGAAACATGTCAGCACATACGGAACTATCTCATTTTTCTTAATGCAGAACAGTGGTCTATTACAGAGAATTTGGAGGGGAAGTGGCACGATACACTCTGACATAGAGTTACAAACAATAACCCTCTGCATACATGCCTGCTGAGATTTGCTTCTTTCCATCTAAGGTCAAGGGGAAGGGGCTGAGACTTTAACTGAAACCTGTTTCTTTTTCAGGATTTAACCCTAAGTGATCTCACCCCCTTCATCTCAATGTGGCTTATGTTGAGACTCAAGCCTGGTTATGAAGTCTTAAAAAGAGTAACCAACAACTTTGAATGCTCTTAAAAGAAGCCAGTTCCTGGCTGACAGCTTAAAAAGGGTGATTCAACTTGTCAGAGAATTTGCATTTCATTTCATTTTATTTTTTTAAAGATTTTATTTATTTGACAGAGAGAGAGAGAGACAGTAAGAGAGGGAACACAAGCAGGGGGCGTAGGAGAGGGAGAAGCAGGCCTCCCGCTGAGCAGGGAGTCCGATGCGGGCTCGATCCCAGGACCCTGAGATCATGACCCGAGCCGAAGGCTGTCGCTTAACTGACTGAGCCACCCAGGCACCCCGAGAATTTGCATTTTAATTTTCCTATGTTTTCACTTGGTCTGTGATTAATGTACAGAAATTAATGTACATCAGTAGATGTCTAGACCATGCCTAGATAAGTGTTGAATGAATGTGTACATCCAGTCCTGCTAGGCTACAGTGAGAGCAGGAAAGGGGAGTTAAATCCAGATGTGACAAAGTATCCACAGAAACTGGTATCCATATAGTGCCCCAATCTGCAGGCAGAGAATCATACCACTATCCTACCAAGCAATCAGGGGCCATACCTGCTTGCAAAGGTATTCTGAGAACTTGCTTAATCCCTCCTCATGCAGACCCAGCAGTGGGAAGATCTTGAAGAAGCGCTCCACCTGGGGCAGATCCCCTTCCTTAGTAGCGATGGCAAACTTTTCTGTTACAATGGCTTTGAGACGCTGCTCAGCTTCCTGCAGCAATTTCAGGTTGGCATCAATCATGCTGCCTGCACATTGGGAGGAAAATGGGAATTAATGCAAAGAATGGTACTCTGTCAGGTCTATGCCACTTTGTGCACCATTATTCATTCGAAATATATACAGAAGTTATAGTCAGCAAAAGAAATAAGATCTGTGGCACAAGTAACTATAACAAACTAAGTGTATGATAAGTGTAATAAGAAAAGTGTTCACAAGTCACATTTCTAGTTGAACTAATTAGAAAAGTCTTCCCAGAAATGGTATCCCATCTTTTAAAGATGGGCAGGGTTTAGATACCTGAATAGGAGGAACTTACATTCCAAGCAAAGGGAATGAAAGGAGCAAAGGAACAGAAATAAAAAGATGAAAAAAAATATTTGTAGAGTATTGCAAGTAATCTATACTCTGGCATATAGAGGACTCTATGTATGTGCACATTGGATGGATGCATGAGTGAATAGCATGAAACAAGGTGAGAAAGACAGGGTGGGTTGAAATCACAGAAGGCCTAGAAAGCCAGGCTAAGAATTTAACTTTGTAAGTTAGGTGATATGGTCAAGTGAAAAGAACCCACTGGCCAGAGGACAGTAGATGTGGACTCAGTTTCCTTTTCCATAAAATGGGAATAACAACACCTGTCCTAGGGTGGCCTATGACCTATATAGGGTTGAGTACCAGACAAGGAAATTGCCTAACAGATGCCCTTTTCTCGGTTGAGTTTGCCTTGCTCAGATAACAGATGCTTATAACTAAACCAGAAATGATAGGTACTTAAATCAGATTACAGACGCTTGTAAAAACCATAGAAATCAACAGTTTGGGATGGATGTCACCTTCTTTGCCCTGTCGACTGAGCTCAATGACTGACTTGTCCAGGCACAAGTAGCGATGAATGTGGGCCGCAGCCTGCTCATAATCTTCATTCCTCAAAGCAGTCTGAACTCCATCCATGCAGAACTTCAGGTCCAAGATATCATCAGCTCTCTGAATGGCTTGATAGAGGCGGTTCTGCAAAGACTTGGTGCTTAGAAACAATGTCCTATTCTTTCAGAATATCTCTTCAGAAGGTAGGGAGATTCAGGGGCAAAATCTGGTTAACCAGAGGCCCTGAACCAAAACCACTACCACTCACAAAACTGTTATTGATGATGATTAATAGCACTGACAGGTATCATACAATTTTATTTATGTGACCAGATCATTCATTTTAATGGAAGCAGGAACAAGGACAAGCCATATTTGTATTTGGCTGATGCTGTTAAATTAATAATGGAATCGGAGTGTATCTAACATTTGGAAAGAGGACATTATAAACCAAGTAATAAAATAAGTGAAACATATGGAAAATATTTTTCTTTTAGAATAAGTAAGATTTTTTTTTTAAAGTTTTACTTATTTAAGTAATCTCTACATCCAACGTGGAGCTAGAACTCACAACCTTGAGATCAAGAGTCACACGCTCTTCCCACTAAGCCAGTCAGGAGGCCCTAGAATAAGCAAGAATGTTCTAAAGAAATCTTAATAATGTGACTTGGTGGCTGTATGGCCATAGTGTTTTGTGGTAAGTTATTTTTGCAGAATCTCAACAAATAGATTGGGAAGAGTTATGCTATTTCACAGGGGAAAACTGAGGCTGGGACTGACTTATTCAAGAGCCCAGATCTTGTGCTATTCACTACAGTAGTCATTAACAATCTGTGGCCATTGAGCACTTGAAATGTGGCTAGTCCAAATTAAGATGTGTAAAACACACACTGGATTTCAAAGACTTAGTACAGAAACAAAGAAGGCAAAACATCTCATTAATACCATTTTAAAGTAATCACATATTTAAATGATATTTTGGATATTATGGGTTAAATAAAACATTACTAAGATTATTTTCACCTATTTCTGTTTTTTTATTTTATTTTTTAAAGATTTTATTTATTTATTTGAGAAAGAGAATGAGATAGAGAGAGAGATCATGAGGGTCAGAGGGAGAAGCAGACTCCCTGCTGAGCAGGGAGCCCGATGCGGGACTCGATCCTGGGACTCCAGGATCATGACCTGAGCTGAAGGCAGTCGCTTAACCAACTGAGCCACCCAGGCACCCCTTTTTATTTTTTAAAGATTTTAAAGATTTTGTTTATTTATTTATTTGACAGAGCAAGAGAGCACAAGCAGGGGAAGCAGCAGAGGGAGAGGGAGAAGCAGTATCCCTGCTAAGCAGGGAGCCTGATGTGGGGCTCAAGCCCAGGACCCGGGGATCATGACCTGAACCTAAGGCAGATGCCTAACCAATTGAGTTACCCAGGTGCCTCTCTGTTTTACTTTTTAAAATAATGGCTACTAGTGAGGCACCTGCTGGCTCAGTCGGTAGAGCATGCAACTCCTGATCTCAGGGTCATGAGTTCAAGACCCATGTTGGGTGCAGAGCCTACTTTAAAAAAGAAAGAGAAAGAAAGAAAGAGAAAATAAAATTGAGAAAAATGGCTACTAGAAAAATCTAAAGTTAAATGTATGGTTTATATGCTTTTTCAATTTGGATGATTTTTATTTTATTTTCTTGCCTAAATGTCTGGCTAGAAACTCCAGTACAATGTTGAAGAAAAGAAGCAAGAGCTGACATCCTGATCTTAGAGGGAATGCACCCAGTCTTTTACTGGTAAGTATGAAGTTAGCTGTGGGTTTTTTGTAGATGACCTTTATCAGGTTGAGGAAGTTCCCTTTTATTATAAGTTTTTTGAGTTTATGCTTTTTCTGAGTTTATGAGATGATCATGCGGTTTTTGTCCTTTATTCTACTGATATGGTGGATATATTAATTGATTTTCAGATGTTAAAGCAACCCTGCATTCCTGGGATAAATTCCACTTCATAGTATAATCCTTTTTTTTTTTTATTTTTTGACAGAAAGAGACAGTGAGAGAGGGAACAGAAGCGGGGGAGTGGGAGAAGGAGAAGCAGGCTTCTTGCTGAGTAGGGAGCCCGATGCGGGGCTTGATCCCAGGACCCTGGGATCATGACCTGAGCCAAAGGCAGACGCTTAACCGACTGAGCCATCCAGGCGCCCCATAGTATAATCCTTTTTATGTGTTGCTAGATTTGGTTTGTGTGTTGTTGAGGATTTTTATGTCTTTATTCATAAGAGGTATTGGTCTGAAGTTTTCTCTTCTTCTGCCATCTCTGTCAGGTTTAATGGTGCTGCTCTAATTTCTAATGTGGTGGCTTCTCTATTGCCCTCTACTAAAACATCAGAAGTTCAATGGGATTACCTTGGCCAAGTCAAGCTGACGGACTTTGCTGGATACATTCTCAGCTAGGTTGCAGGTAAAGGTGATCATTCCAGCTAGCTGCTTTGCATCTCCTTCAATCAACTGCAGGTTGGGACTGGAGACACATGTCAGCACACACACATCCATAGGGCAGAAGGTAGGAATATGAGATGGAAAATTTTTTTTTGTAAATGGAGACTATGTCTTCTACTGTCTTTGTACTTCCCCACAACTTTTAGCTTAGTTCACTCTACTCACAACTTTTCCTAAAGAGGATTTTACTGAAAACTGAGGTCTATACTAAATAAAAAATTACTTTTTATAACTACTATAGAGACCCCTATATAGGTACTGCTAAAGAACTAGAGAACAGATGCTCCCCACTGCTAAGTATAAAATGCACTAACCAACAATCAAAGAGGGTGACGGGTTCAAAGAGCAATTTTTATGACTAGCAAATACACAGAGTTTGTAAAAACAGTGGTTCTCAAACTTGAACCATAATCAGGATCTCTTGGTGTGTCTGTTAAAAGCTTGTCAGATTTCTGGGCTCCACCCCCAGAGTTTCTGGTTCAGTGGGTTTTGAGTGGGGCCTCATAGTTTGCATTTCCAACAAGTTTCCCAATAAGTTTGATACTTCCAAGGACACTTTGTGAACCACTTGACTATACCCTTAAGTGTTCACTTAACCTTGAAATAATCTTCCTGTACATTTCAAAGTCAAGTGGCATTTTATAACAGAAAGTTAGGAAAAACAGTAATTTATCCAGTGGTCCTTGTCGGAATTATAATAGCTCTTGCTGAGCTGGGAGACTCACCCCATCCGGTGGAGAGTGACCACTTTACTTTCAATGGTGTTTTGCTGTTCCAAAAGAGCATCCAATTCTCTCTCTACCACTTTCTGAAACACAGACAAACATTTTGTCATCAGAATGGTCAGAAGGAACCTTAAGAGTTATCTAACCCAACCACTTAGCTGAAGGGTGAATCCCATTTCAAATGTCTTTCCTTTCGCTGAGCTCTCCTAGGACTTTAACCAACAATACTTTATTTTTGCATTTATCACACTGCATGATGACTGTTAGCTTCTGTGTATTTTATTCCATCTAGCAGATGAATAACACAAAGAACTAAACTTTTATTCAGTATAATTAGCACAGTACCTAATGCAGGAAGGCATTTAAAATATAATGGCTAAACAAATGAAACTTTCAAAGTGACAGTTACAAAAAGTCTCTTCATAGTGTACAGTCAGTACCCTGAAGGGATAAATACATAATTCTCTCAGTGAAGTTATTTACGGCATTACTGCAACTGACATTAACCTTCTTAAATGCTTGAGTTTCTTGATCTGTAAAATGTAATACATATCCCATAGGACTGTTGCGAGAGCCAAACAAGGTAACAAACATAAAGTGCTTAGCATAGTATGTGAAATATTGTTCATTAATAGCCATCAATATCAACTACACATTTCTATTAAAATAGTTCAGTAGGATCCAGAGGGGAACTTCCCCTTGACAGTCATCAAATACAAATACAGAACTAATATTATTCTGTCTGTAAGATGGACTTAATTTCACCTTAAAAATTGACTCAATGAATGCACGCTTAGGACTGTTAGAGTACTAAATTTTATAAAGCACATCTTGCTGAAAAATGTTACCATAAACTGCTTGACTTGGTGCAAATTAATATTTGAAAATATTCTTAGATATCAATAATCCCCCCTCTCCTGCTGAAACTGCCTTTTGTACTCAACCTTAATTAAAAGTTTAGTTTAGGGAACAGCTACTGAACTTTTAGCTCAGAGCTTGGATCTCTTTCTTCTGAGTGGCAAGGAACCCAAATGATATTTAAAAATATATTGACAGCATCAGGTTGCCACGGAAAATGAAGGAGGCTGCAAAGAATCCTCAAGAGAATAAATATAGTCCATGCCCCTATCTGACACAATGCACGGGTCCAAGAGATGAAAGTTACTAGTCCGATTAGACAGTTGTGCCTGTCTTAAAACCTCAAGCTTCTACCAAGCTGCGGACTTACCAAAACGCTAAAATTACACCCCCAAATCATTCCCCACAAAAGTATTAAAACGCTTAAAGTTTATTTGCAATGACTTCCTGCTTAAATGAGAACACGGTGAACGCGTTTCGTAATTTTTAAATTGCTAATTCAATGCTAGAGCGCCTTGCTTATTTTGATAAGCAAATAAGCAAGCTTATTTGATAAGCAAGCGAGCGCCTTGCTTATTTTGATAAGCAAGCGAGACTGACGCTGTCAGTCTACCTGCTCTAGCCGAGAAACTTAATCTAGATTAAGGGCCAGGGGAATCAAGGGGAGCGAAGCAGATCGCCGAGATAACAGGGAAAACAAGTTTAGGGACACCAGATCAAGCGAACAGAGATGTCACGTCCACCCAAATACACTCAACTACACTCCTTGAATAAGTGCTTTGTTTCCCTCGGCAGAGGCAGAGAGAGAACTTCCCACAGCCCGGAATTCCCAAGACTGACGGCTCCAAGCCCACTGCCCCTGATTCAGCCCCCTCCCACCTCCTCGCCGCAGAGCCGTTCGTATACAGCCTCTAGCTCCTGCAGCTCCGTCAGAGAGCGAATGAGCTCGGTAGAGATTTCCGAGCATCGGCCTCCTCCCATCCCTTCGGGCGGAGGAACCCCTGACAGCTTCTGAGGGGAACCGAAATCCGCCATCTTGGTCCCCATTTCGTGCTTCCGGCCCCGCGAGGCCCCGGCCTCGTTTGCGCGCCAGGTCTTTGCGACTGCCCAAGAAAATGCCCGATGGATTTATGGGTAGTTTTTTTTGTTGTTGTTAAGTACACTTTAAAAGGTCTATTTGTTTTCTGTTCTCCTGGGAAAAGTGACGGCCATAAGGTATGTTTAACTAATGTTCTGTGTGGTGTCGAAGAAAGACAGAAACATTTAAAAAATTAGATACATATTCTTCAGGCGCCGGTTGGGGACTTTTTATACGTCGCGCGCCCGCCGGAAGGTCCCTGCCTTAAGAGCTAATGGCGGACGCCGGCGGGTTGAAGCTGGTGGTGGCTTAGGCCTTGAAGGAACTCCGCATCTGTCGGATATCTACGCCATCCTTCCTGCTGCAGGGTAAAGAAGCAGCCTCCCAATTTTCCCGGGCCTGGGGAGGCAGAGAGCGGTCATGTAGGAGGGTTGGCCGAGCCTTTGGCCGGGGTCTTTGAAGCAGCCTAGGCCCGTAAGGTCGGGGCAAGGGAGGCGGTGGAGGGGAATGCTCGGGTACGAGAACGGCTTCCAGGAGTCGGCTCTCACTTCCGTCTCCAAGGTGGGAACGAAGCCTGGATCAAAATCAGACTTACAGAAATTGCCCAGCTTTTAGGTCCAGGGGTGGGTGAGACAAGGGGCGGGATGGACGTAAACGACACAGCAACTGTAAGGTGGGAAGACCCAGCGTGTTGAAAGCGTAAATAACGGAAACAGTTTTTGGTGCCAAGACCCTCTCTTTTGAATTCGTGTTTTGGTACTTGGGCAACTGTTTCCTTCACTGATTTTCAGTTTATCATTTGTAAAGTGGGGGACAGTAGTATCTATTTTGAAGGCTTTGCGAAGTTTGAATGCGATGATGTTCCTTTGGCACGAGGAGAAGGGATTGAGGCAGCAATTTGTAGTGATCACAGACAGGTAGGAGTAGGGGAATCACAAAATTTACCAAGTTTTGGCCGTTAGTGGTTCCTGGTATGTAAATCTTATAGTTTTGGACTGATCTGTAATGGATGCCGTCAGTTATAAAGGTACTGAAAAGTAGACGGACTTCTTCAGGAGTTACAAAGAATGAAGAGTAGGCTGGGGAACTTTTCAGGGCTTCTGACGTGGCCTTTGGTTTCCTTTTTTTTTTTTAATTGCATAGTCAGTCCTGTAACATTGATCATATTGACATGATAGGGTTTCATTATAAGATTTGTTGATAACTGCAGTTTTGAAATTGTTTGACATTTTATAGCCACAGCAAGATGCAATAGAATAAATTTACTTTTGTTGGAGAATCACATTCACTCTTATTTTTTCTTTCTTTTTTGTTTTAATTGTAGTTGATCACGTTACTACCTTTTTTTTTAAGATTTTATTTATTTATTTGACAGAGAGAGAGAGCACAGATAGGCAGAGTGGCAGGCAGAGGGAGAAGCAGGCTCTCCACTGAGCAGAGAGCCCGATGTGGGTGGGGCTCAGTCCCAGGGTCCTGGGATCATGACCTGAGCTGAAGGCAAACGCTTAACCGACTGAGCCACTCAGGTGCCCCACATTACTACTTTTCTTTTTTTTCTTTCTTTCTTTCTTTCTTTTTTTAAAGATTTTATTTATTTGAGAGAGAGAGAATGAGAGAGAGAGCACATGAGAGGGGGGAGGGTCAGAGGGAGAAGCAGACTCCCCGCTGAGCAGGGAGCCCGATGTGGGACTCGATCTTGTGACTCCAGGATCATGACCTGAGCCGAAGGCAGTCGCTTAACCAACTGAGCCACCCAGGCGCCCCCCACATTACTACTTTTCAGTTGAAAGCAATTAGAACATATTCTTTGCTTCTTTTTCCTCAGACTTTAAGCTGAGAACAGCTTTCCCTGGAACTTGCACAATGTATAAGCCCTTCTGGGGATGTGAGTGTATGTCTGTGTCTCTGTCAGTGCATTTTCTCTATTTTTCTTTTTGTAGGTCATTTCCCCACTCCCTTCTTTTTTCACCTCAGAGATTTTCCTTCTTCCCTCCCATCTTAGGATAAAGATGTTCCTTAGTTTCAAGAAGGAAAATTTATATCTCTTGGGACCCGTTTCCAGAGTGGAGGGTTCGATCTTTTCCTCTTTTAACCATTTCTGGCCTGGGCAAAAGCTGGGTAACTATTATTTATGAGGTCATTTACTCATAATTATCTTTTCTCATTTAACAAAATCACATTTTTGTGTTAATTACACAGTGGTTACTTTGGATTTTTCAAGATTTCTAAATAATTGAAAAAACTTTTCTGGCAGTAATTGTATAGTTGTAGTTCTGGGTAATTTTATGGTAAAGGCACATCGGTTTGCAGTTTTCAGTCTTATCTAATGAAAAGAATCCTTTATGTGACTATACTTCTTTAGAGAGTCCTCCTGAAATGGTAGGAATTGAGTTTTCGTTTTTTATGGTGAGTAGATTTAAATTTTAAATTCTAATTGTTAAATATTGAGCTAGATAAGAGAAACAAATGGAAACTACGCTTAAGTTACCAGTTTTATCTGTTAGATTAGCAAAGTTCTGGTTGTGGGGAAATAGGGACTCATGCATTTCTGGGGATATAGATGGTAGAGTTTCTTTGAAAGGTACTCTGGCAATATGTGTCAAAATTACTAATGTATGAATCCCTCAATCCAACAATTTCATTTCTAGGGATTAATTTTTTTAAAGATTTTATTTATTTGTCAGAGAGAGAGAGCAAGAGCAAGCAAGCAAGCAAGCACAGGAAGAGGGAGAAGTAGGCTCCCTGGTGAGCAGGGAGCCTGATGCAGGACTCAATCCCAGGACCCTGGGATCATGACCTGAGTGGAAGGCAGATGCTTAACTGACTGAGCCACCCAGGCATCCCTCTAGGGATTGCTTTTAAAGATATAGTCTTACATGTATAAATGGCCTATGTAGGAGGGGTTTTCTTTTCTCTCTTTTTAAGTTTTTGTTGGGGCACCTGGGTGGCTCAGGTGGTTAAATGTTTGATTCTTGATGTCAGCTCAGATCTTAATCTCAGGGTCGTGAGTTCAAGCCCCATGTTAAAAATTAAAGTTTTTTTTTACTTAAATAATCTCTACATCCCATGTGGGACTTGAACTCAGGACCCCAAGATCAAGAGTTCCACACTCCTCCAACTGAGCCATCCAGGTGCCCCAGTAGGAGGGGTTTTCTTTGCAGCAGTACTCATAAGAGCAAGAGATTGGAAACTTAATCAGTAGGGTATTGGCTAAATGAATCCTTATATACCCAATTCAGTGGAATACTCCGTAGCTGGAAAATGAAAATGAGAAAGCCCTTTGTTTATTGCTATCTTCAAGGTAAAGTAATGAAAAGTAAGTTGCAGGATAATGTGAGTGAGTGTATAATATATAGTACCCATTAGTTAAAAAGGGGAGAATATCTAGTATTAACATATCTTTGCTTGCATGTGCAGCAACTATCTGGAAGGACATAATATAACTTAGTAAAACTGATTCCCCCAGGGAAGGGAACTGGATGGCTAGGGAATGGATGGAAGGAGCTTTTTGCTGTGCTTTTAAAGAATTCTGAACTGTATGTGTGTATAGCCTGTGCAAATACAAGTACGTGTAGAGCTGCTTAGTTTCTGTGACAGTAAAGGCAAACTGTGTTAATGGTACAGATCCCAATGTTTTTACCACTTGTTATTGATCTCAGGCAGATGATTTAATTTCTCAACCTCGATTTCTTCATCTATATAATTAGTATAATGAGTTATTTATAGGTTTCTTGAGGGATTAGAGGCAAAGTATGCAGCATAGTTCATGGCATATAGAATGCTCTCTAGTTATAAATACGTTGTTCATCAATAAGCCTTACTGTATGGGTTCTGCCTTCAGCCAGAAGTTCCTATACAGAAATGTCTGTAAAGTAAGTTTTCCAGCTGATATTTTTCTGCTTTTATGTGCTCTTAGAGCTTGTTTTGTCTCGTGATAACTGAGGCCTGACTGTGGAGTTGTGAGTATCTCAGTGTTGCTGCCATCATGTTCCTATACAACCTGACACTGCAGCGAGCCACAGGCATCAGCTTTGCCATTCATGGCAACTTTTCTGGTAAGATTTCCAGTTACTATCTTTCCGAATTTAACATTTTCGAGATTAACTAGTTTAATGCCTCAAATTCCTTTATCAGATTCAAACTTTTTCCCTGAAATAATAGAAAAAAATTTTCTAAATCATTAGACAACATCACTTATATAACGCTTTACATTCTCCAAAGCCATTTGAAGTACTTGGTCTTATCTGACCCCGAGAGGACCTTTGGGAAGTAAGGTGGCCCGATAAATGGTGGCCATGAGCAAATGAGAATGGATTGGGGTGGATAGGAGTGGGATATCCGATAGGCGAGGAAGGCGTTTAGGCATTAGATAGTGAAGACCTGTAGTAGGAAAGTGGGGACAGATAGAGAAGAATATGAGCCTGGGCAGTGGAGAAAATGGCAGTAACATTGATAGCAGGTTAGTTGGGACTAGAGAGGGAATTTGGGAAGGAGTTTAGTTATTTTAAACATTCATTTAAAAATTGATGACAACACATCCAAGTGGAATTATATAGCAGGCAGGGAGAGATGGGAGCAAATTGGCTGTTAAAATGCGTTTTGATTTGATAAGGCAGAGGCTTAATCCTTAATGGTTATGAAAGCAAGTGAACTCTCCCAGGACTGAGTTTAGAAATAAATGGTATCTATTAGATAGCAGCTTTAGAAGTTGTTTGAGATAATCCATCAAACTGCACGAAAAGTTAATAATGATTTTCTAGTATAATAGCATTCAAGATGAGCTAGAAAGAGCCTTTGGAAGTACTTAATTTTATGAAGCTAAACATCATATGTTAATAACCATTTGTAGACAACTCCCAATTATGCAGATTGATGGCAAATTTTAGAAAAATAAAAAGGTTTTTAAAAAGTAGCTATGTTGAGCTTTTTTTTTAAGATTTTGTTTGAGAGAGAGTGCGTGTGCGTGCATACAAGCAGGAGGAGGGGCCTAGAGAGGGAGAAGCAGACTCCCGGCTGAGCAGGGATCCTGACCGTGGGATCATGACCTGAGCCAAAGGCAGATGCATAACGACTGAGCCACCCAGGTGCCCCATGTGACCATTTTTAAAAAGTTTTTCATTGCTACCACTTCTGTTAAATATCAATTCTAGGAATGAAATAGAATAAAAAAACTTAAAGTATTGAACACCCAACTTAATTGTATTTATCTTGAGTGGTATTTTGATCCATCCAGGTTACTTTTTGGACTAGTTCTGATTGTTCGTGATCTTTATTGTTCTGGTGATCTAGGAACTAAACAGCAGGAAATTGTTGTTTCCCGTGGGAAGATACTGGAGCTGCTTCGCCCTGACCCCAACACTGGCAAAGTACACACTCTTCTCACTGTGGAAGTATTTGGTGTTATCCGGTCACTCATGGCCTTTAGGCTGACGGGTGGCACCAAAGACTACATTGTGGTTGGCAGTGACTCGGGTCGGATTGTTATCTTGGAATACCAGCCATCTAAAAATATGTTTGAGAAAATTCACCAAGAAACCTTTGGCAAGAGTGGATGCCGCCGCATTGTTCCAGGCCAGTTCTTAGCTGTGGATCCCAAAGGGCGAGCTGTTATGATTAGTAAGTGACTTGCTCTATTAAGTGTACCTCCGAGACTAAAGATTCTCAATTTAGGGTAATAGTGCTGTGCGTTTGGCAGTGTGCCAGTAAGTTCCTTACCTGGGTAAAGTTTGGATCATATTTGGATTAATGCCATGGTTTAAAGTTGCTTTTCCTTTTAAAACAATGGGAATAGTCTTAACACACCTTTTCTGTTTCCTATCAGGTTGGATTAGGTGTTTTTCCCATTTCTACATGTGTAGCAAAAAGCCCACAATGAAATGATTGTACATAATTAGGCAGTGAATATGATTGCTTTCATCAGCCTGAAGTGATGATTCACATTCATGTCTCTTCTCTGATAAATTTCTTGAAGAAATTCTGTGTATCTGATCAGGCCTCCAGAAGGCAACTCTTTCTGACAAGTCACAAAATCATTAGATTTAATTCAGAGAATAAAGCTGGCAATTTTATGAATTATTGTTTTGTTTCCCAGTATCATTAAATCTAGGGCACGCTAAGAAGTTTTGAAGAGTTAGTGGGATATTAAGATCCCTATTAGAAAGGAGGGGAGTAAAATTCTGTTGACTATTTTACTAAGAGCAGAATCCTAAGTTAATACACTTGTAGAGTTAATGCTGGCTATTAATGATATTAAAGAAACAATTGTGATGTGAGTCTGACTGTTCTATAAGCCCTTCTTTTCATTTTCTGGAAATTTTATTTGTTTTGTCTCCTTTATCTATAGGTGCCATTGAAAAACAGAAGTTGGTATATATCTTGAACAGAGATGCTGCAGCCCGGCTTACCATTTCATCTCCCCTAGAGGCCCACAAAGCGAACACTTTAGTATATCATGTGGTCGGAGTAGATGTGGGATTTGAAAATCCAATGTTTGCTTGTCTGGAAATGGATTATGAGGTAACGGAGGCTCATTGACTTTTTCCTCTCTCTCCCTTCTTCTCCCCCTCCCCCCCCACACGATGGTTTCTTTCATTCACCTCAGTGCTTTCCTCATTATTTCCTTCTTTGTGTATGTCTTACAGCTCTCCTGCTCACAAATCTTTTCTGTTTTCCAAATGTCCTACTAAGATTCTTCGGAATGTTTCACAGCTTAACCAACTGTATAATAGCACCTTACCCTGATTGGAGCAATCTCCCTATAAAGACAGGGCATTTTGGGGGAAGAGCTGTCTGAAAAAGGAGGTAAAACTGTATGTGGGATTTTTTTTGCAGGGAGGTGGTGAAGGATGGGGCGTACCATTCTTTGCCTTGAATGGAAGGCATTTGTTTTCAGTAGAGGGAACCCTGGTCCCAGAAATAGGAGACCAAGGTTCTTGTTCCAGCTCTGCCATTACCTAGTAGTGTGAGCTTTGGTGAACTGTTGGGGACCTTTGCTTCCCCATTTGTAAGATGGAGGGATCCTGATACCGTGTTTGTGCCAATGTCCTTCTCTATAGGAAGCAGACAATGATCCAACAGGGGAAGCAGCAGCTAATACCCAGCAGACTCTTACCTTCTATGAGTTAGACCTTGGTTTAAATCATGTGGTCCGAAAATACAGTGAACCTTTGGAGGAACATGGCAACTTTCTTATTACAGGTACTTTTTTTCTTTTAAGATTTTATTCATTTGAGGGGGGGGGGAGAGCAAGAGCAGGGGTGGTGAGTGGGGAGAGAGAGCGGGAGAAGCAGACTCCCCACTGAGCATGGAGCCCAACGTGGGGCTTGATCCCAGGACCCCAGGATCATGACCTGAGCTAAAGGCAGAGGCTTAACTGACTGATCCACCCAGGTGCCCCTACAGGTACTTTTTTCTCAGAGCTATTCTGTACCTTTTTGCTTGGCCCATTTTATACGCAAACCTAGGAGAGTTTACTTAATAGAGTTTGGAAACTCTAATTCATTTGTAGTAAATCTAAGTACCTTGTCTATGGTTTGGCGAAGTTAAAAAAGTTCATGCAGTGGTTGACTCTTCTAATGGGGGCAGAGAAGAAAGGATGGGAGAGGACTCAGCTTGGAATATTGACTACTGTTAGGTGCTCTGATATTTTTTACTGTAGATAGTCTTTCACTGTCATTAAAAAAATTAAAACCCAATTCTTTGAAAAGATGAAATGAATTTGAAAACTTGGGCAAAATATAAATATTTTTGAAAACAGTTCCCAAAATTGACCCTGCTCGGCAGGGAGTCTCCTTCTCCCTCTGACACTCCTTCCTCTCATGCTCTCTGTCTCTCATTCTCTCTCTCAAATAAATAAATAAAATCTTTAAAAAAAAAAAAAAAGAAATTAAGAACCTGAATAGACCAGCATCCATTAAAGAAATCGGAGCAGTAGTCAAAAATCCCCCCCCCAAAGATTTAAGGTCCAGAATTTTCAGGGATCTTAAATTTCTGCAAAGATAGGAAAAATATAAAAGCAATTGTACCACTTTATGAGCCTGGTGTAACTTAAGTATCGAAACTGGGGAAGGTTAGTAACAAAAATCTATATGTTGGTTATGGTTATAAATACCAAAACCTAAAATTTTAAGAAATTGGAGTCTGCTTTAAATGCATCATAGCTAAGTAAGATTTTTGTAGGCGTTCAGAGATGTTTACAATTAGAAAATTATCATGAGGCGAGGTCTCTAACCCAGAGAAAGAAAAGGAATATGTTAGAGAAATCTTTCTGGAGAAGAGCTCTATGCTGAGACCTAAGGACTAGTTAGTTATGTATGAGGGGGGTGGAGGAAGGGGTTTCTTTTGTGGATAAGGAGAACGAGATGCACAAAGGCCCACGTGCAAAGAAAACGTGGTTTATTCAAAGAACTAGAAGCTCATTGTGATTGGATCGATAGAACTAAAAGGGCTGGGGTACAACTAAAGGGCTGTGGTGGGGAGGTAGCTTCTGAAGGATTTTATTTTATTTATTTTTTGTTGTGATTGAAGGATTTTAAGCAGGGGAATAATAACCTGTTAAAGATGAACATTTTAGAAACATGCTTATATTTTGGCTAATTGAATGGAGGATAAGACTATAAGCCAGATTAGGAAGCTGTTTCACAAACCCAAGAGATAAGCAGCACGAGCACTGCTAAGAAGGTAGAATCAATGGAGCTATGAGGGGAGAGAGAGAATTAAAGAGTGACACCCAAGTTTCTGGTTTGGTCTATTGGTTGGTCGTGGTATTCTCTGAGATGGAGGACTCAGGAGGTGGAACAGATTTGGGGAGGAACTTGAGTTTGTTTATGAATACAATGTACTTTTAAGCTGCTTGTGGAATATCCATGTAAGAGCGTCTAGTATGCAGTTGGGTTATAGGGCTAAAGATGAGAACTGAGTTTTGGGCTCGGAGCTAAAAATTTTAGATGCATTATCAGATATCTGGACAGGCTAAGGCTACCCAAACTGCATTCCATCCTTGTCTTATGCTAGTATCAGGGAAAAGAAACACTTTGAATGTTTTTCAGTCTCAGGCACTTACACCTTCATCCAAATTATGCTGAAGGAGAGAAGGAATTAAAAGCTAAATTGTAATTCATGGTTATGTTAAATCATTGCTAAGTTCTGTTTTTTTCTGATAGTTCCTGGAGGGTCAGATGGTCCAAGTGGAGTATTAATCTGCTCTGAAAACTATATCACCTACAAGAACTTTGGTGACCAACCGGATATCCGCTGTCCAATTCCCAGGAGACGGGTAAAAATCTTTGCCATAAGAAAAGATACTGGTGTTTGTGAAGTTAATTTATTTTTTGTAATTACAGTGTAGTCTCTTAGTTTATTTGCTGTGAGGTTTTAGTTTCTTTGTAAATGTTGTGTTTAATAAAGCTGGTATTTTAGTGAAAGCGAAACAAATTCTTTGAGAAAGGGAATTAAAAAACAGTTTGCATTTCAGAAGAATCTGTGGACGATCAGTTTGAAATTCCTGCAAGTTTCTAGTTTGAAGAAGCCAGACATATTTATTGGAGATATATTGTTTTCCATTGTTTGTCTTTTCTTCCCCCATTCCAACATACAGGAAATTTTAAAGAATAGAACAATGAATTCCTGTTTGCCTTTTACATACAGAAAGAAGATTCACCAATTTAATGTTTTGCTGCATTTGGGTTTTCTTTTTTAAAGACTTTGTCAGGGGTGGGGAGAGAGAGAGAGAGCGAGAGCGCACACAAACAGAGGGGAGCTGCAGACAGAGGGAGAAGCAGGCTCCCCGCTGAGCAAGGAGCCCGATGCGGGACTCGATCCCAGGACCCTGGGATCCTGACCTGAGCCGAAGGCAGATGCTTAACTGACTAAGCCACCCAGGTGTCCCTTGGGTGTTTTTTCTTATGATATATCTATTAGACAAACCTTTTGAAAATAAGTTGCAGTTATCGTGACACTCTAAGAATCTCATAAGATGTAGCTGCTGAAAAGAAGTTTTCCTCCTACATAACCACACTACCAATATCATGCCCAAGAAATGTACTGTTTTGTGTAATAGTTATCTTATGTACAGTTCATATACCAGTTCTCTCATTGTCCCCAAAAGTTCCCTTTTATTTTATACTGCCCTTTAGAATATTTTGTCTCACCTTTGTTTACTTTTGGTCTTTTATTGACTTTTTTTTCAAAGTCTAGGCTAATTTTCTTGGAGTTTGTCCCATCATATTTTTCCATATGATTATATCCATGTTAATATTTTTGTTAGAATCATTACATAAGGGGTGACATTTCCCACTCTATCACAATAGGGGCACAGAATGTTGGTTTGTCTCGTTGGTGATGTTAAATTGTTTACTGCCTGTGCTTCTTAATTGTGAAGGTACCTTTTCCTTTTTGTAATTGGTGTGGAAGCAGATGGGGTGAATTTTGAGTTGGTAAATATTCTTTTCCCTAACATCTTTTCACAGTGCTTTTCCCCTCAGTTCAGTTACTACATTGGTGGTTGAAAATGCTGTTTTTTTTTTTTAAGATTTTATTTATTTATTTATTTGACAGAGAGAGACACAGCCAGAGAGGGAACACAAGCAGGGGGAGTGGGCAGAGGGAGAAGCAGGCTTCCCACGGAGCAGGGAGCCCGATGCGGAGCTCGATCCCAGGACTCTGGGATCATGACCTGAGCCGAAGGCAGACGCTTAATGACTGAGCCACCCAGGCGCCCTGAAAATGGTGTTTTATTGATTTTAATCTTAACAGTTTACTGTGGAAATTATTAAGCACATGCAAAGTAGAATATAATGAACTGTATATCCAGTTTCAGCTAATCTTGTTTCATCCCTGCTTTCTCAGTCTCTTCTTTCACCCCTCGTTTTATATATTTTTAATATTAATTTATAGGTCCTGGGGTTGAACCTTTTAGGTCTTACTTAGTTGAGCTAATAATATGATATCTGGGTAAGATTCCATAAATTTTAGAAAATCAGAAGAAATCTATCAAGTGAAATTCTTGGTAAGGGGTGGGAAGTAATTCACTTTGGTTCGTCAGACATTGATTGACGAATTCCTGTTTGCCTTTTACCTACAGAAAGAAGATTCGCCAATTTAATGTTTTACTGCATTTGGGTTTTCTTTCTTTCTTTTTTTTTTTCTTAAAGACTTTGTCAGGAGTGGGGGGGAGAGAGAGAGTGTGCACACACAAGCAGGAGGGAGCTGCAGGAGCTACAGGAGCTGTAGCTTGTACTTGGCTTTGGGACTACAAAAAAGTATAAAACATGTTTTGCCCTCAAAGAGCTAAGTCAGTGGGAGAAATACAAAATGTTGGAAATGTAAAAAAAAAACAAACCGAAAATCATAGTTCAGGAGCTGCCTTGTAGGAGTTAAGGAAGATGATGTGGAACAAGGCTAATGAAGGATAGTTTGGATGATAGTGTCATGGATATGTAAGACTTTTATTTATAGTCTGAAATGATGACTCTTTTAAATTTCATATCTTTTCTTTGACATTTTTCTCTGGAGAAAGTGTTTTTCTTACTCATTGGATCAGAATGTAGAGTGAAATTGTGGCTTTTTATTTATTTATTTATTTACTTGAGAGACAGTGAGACAGAGATACCTAGAGAGAAACGAGCTGGGAGGAGAGGGAGAAGCAGGCTCCCTGCTGAGCAGGGAGCCCGATGGGGGGCTCAATCCCAGGACCCTGGGATCATGACCTGAGCCGAACGCAGACGCTTAACCTACTGAGCCACCCAGGCGCCCCCTTTTTTTTTTAGAGTCTATTTATTTGAGAGAGCGCGCACACAGGCAGAGTGGCAGGCAGAGGGAGAGGGAGAAGCTGGCTCCCCGCTGAGCAGAGAGCCTGACATGGGGCTTGATCCCAGGACCCTGAGATCATGACCTGAGCCGAAGGCAGACACTTAACCAACTGAACCACACAGGCACCCTGTGGCTGTTTTTTATACACAGGCTTTGTCACATTTATAGTAGACAAGAATTTTTGGCTATTGCATTTTATTTTTTGGCTGACAGGCTGCTCTGGGTCAAACCTTGTATATAGAGACTGAAGGTACCTCTAGGCCTTGGGTGGGTGACCTGTATGATCCCTGTTGGTAAGGTGCTACATTCCCTAAATAAGTACTCATTTCTGAGTTTTCGGTTCTGTATTTGACTTTGCTAGAATGACCTGGATGACCCTGAAAGAGGAATGATTTTTGTTTGCTCTGCCACCCATAAGACCAAGTCGATGTTCTTCTTTTTGGCCCAAACTGAGCAGGGCGATATCTTCAAGATCACTTTGGAGACAGATGAAGATATGGTAAGCAGACCATGGATGGAGAGGGAAAAAATGAAAAAACACTTTTGTTAGGTTTAGTCTGGTTTGATAAAATGTCCTGTGGTATTCTAGTTTGGATATATTTAAATAATCTTATTTCAAAGACTGATATTTATGTGTACATTTAAGGTTTACAAACTGGTTTTATAAACCATCTTCTCATTAAAACTACTCTGAGATAGGACAATTAATACTTTACAAGTTAATAAAATGGAAATAATGTCTTAAAAAGTGGTTCTCTAAGGTGTTACAGCTTTTAAAATTTGCAACTGATATATGAATGTAGGTTTTCTTTGGTTAAGAGATTTCTGGTGTGAGTCTCATGTATGAGACTGAGTAATTCCACTTCTAGTAAGTAATAATAAAAAACTCTTGATTCTGCTGAAAACTGGTAATACCCATGATCTGTTACTGTTTTCATCCTATGGAGGAGCTCTGTGAACAACTGAGCAATTTTTTAGATACCTGTTTAGCTCAGGAGTTGGCAAATTTTTTTGGAAAGGCCCGGTAGTAAACATTTTCAGCTTTTATGGGCCATATAATCTCTGTGTCAACTATACAACTCTGTCGTTGTGTCACAGAAGCAGCTGTAGGAAGTATGTAAACAGATAGGCTGGTCTTGGGCCTTAGTTTGCTCACCCCGGGTTTAGATAATAAGGACGATATTTTATTTGCTATTCTGCTTCTGCTATCTTAAAATACTGGGCTACCTTCTGTGGTCTAGCTTCACTTGCCTACATGGTAGAATCTTTTTTTTTTCCCCCCCTTCCAGGTTACTGAGATTCGGCTCAAGTATTTTGATACTGTGCCTGTTGCTGCTGCCATGTGTGTGCTTAAAACAGGCTTCCTTTTTGTAGCATCAGAATTTGGAAACCAGTGAGTAATCCTTTTATTACCCTAGTTCACCCTTGTTACTATAAAAGTTGGCAGGAGGGAGATGTGGCTCCAAGGCCACAGAGCTTTCCAAAAGAATGTTCTAGTTTCTTCAAAAGTTTTGCCCTCCTTTCCCCTTTACATTGTTTTTCTTGGTTATTTACCCTACTTCAGTGGCTTTAATCAGTATCTTCAGGTAGCTGCAAAAGTAGCTTCAGAAGTGATCTTTTTTTTTCTCTTCTTTTACCCAGAAGTGATCTTTTCTGAGCTTTTTGCTAGACATTTTATTGAATATTTATGGAACTACTTAAACGTTCTACCAATACTTCACTTGTACAAATCTAAAGTTGAAGCTCGTCAATACCCACAGCCACATCACTAACCTTCCCAACCTCAGTATTTCTATTCGGCTAATGGGCTGGTTCTAGCAACTTGAGTGTAACATCTCAATTTTTGTGGACAAAAAACCACTTTCATTTGAGTGCTAAGTTCTTTTTTTACTTGTGTATCCCTTTTTTTGTGGTGATAGTCTAAACTAGTTCACTAGTTTTCTTACTACATTTCATTGTTTTTCCTGTAAAAGTTGGCCTTTCTAGAGTCATCTCATTAAGCAACCAAGACACAACCTTGATGAAGTCTTTTCCCTTACAATCTTTGATGACTTTTTATTACCAAGTGGATAAAGTCTGAAGTCTAGCCTTGAATTTAAGACCAATATCTAAGTCTCCAAATTAGAGACTTGGTCCTGCCTTTTATTTTTAGTTCAGGTCTTGCCAGTATCTGCTAAAGTCTGTGCAGCCATTTAACTAATGCTGTTTCCTTACTAAAATGAAGGTTTGTCTAGGATTCTAGAATTCTATCCCATTTCTGCCTTTCTCCAACTCTTTTTCCTTTCTTAGACATGCCTGTTACTCATCCTCACTGACTATCAAAATTTCATCCTGCATTTATGAATTTAAACTATGGCTGCATTTGGCCAACACACAAAGATAAACCCACAATATTCACTACAGTATAATTTGTGATAGCAAAAGTACAACCTTAATATCCATCAATATGGGGTATGGCCATAAAATATGCAGTCACTAAAAATGTTTTCCATATACTAAATGCAGTGTATGGGTCTTGTTAGATCCTGATCTAAACAAATCTACTTTAAAAATATTGAGATGGACATGACACAGTTGGTTAAGCATCTGACTGTTGATTTCGGCTCAGGTCATGATCTCAAGGTGGTGAGATCGAGCCCTGCACCGGGATGCACACACAGTGTGGAGTCTGCTTAAGACTCTCTCTCCCGGGTGCCTGGGTGGCTCAGTCGGTTGAATGTCTGCCTTTGGCTCAGCTCATGATCCCAGGGTCCTGGGATCGAGTTCCTCATTGGGCTCCCTCTCCCCTGCTTGTACTCTCTCTTGCTCTCTAGCTCTCTCTAGCTCTCTCTCTCTGTTTCAAATAAAACCTTTAAAAAAAAAAAAAAGACGGTCTCTCCCACTCCCTCTGCCCTCCTCACCTATGTGCGTGCACACTCTCTCAAATCTTTAAAAAGTAATAAAAATATTGAGACAATGGAGAAATTTGAATACTAACTAGCTATTTGAATATATCAAGAAACTAATATTATTTTGGAGAAGTGGGATATAAATAAGACTGGCCATGGGTTGACCTTTGTTGAAGCTGAATGATGGGCACATATAGGTTCATTAATTATACTATTCTATTCTCTCTTACGTACCTGTTTAAAAATTTCCATAATAAATAAAAATTTTGAGTGAAAAATACTGATATGAAAAAAATTTTAGGGTACACTGCTTATTTGAAAAATTCTTTTATAGAATGATGCAGTTCTCTAAAATAAAATTACATACAAAAACTAGAAAGTAAAAATACTGGAAGTAGATAGAACGAAATGTTAATGTGACTATTCTGGGATACCCCTAGGATTATGGGTGATTTTTATTATTTGCTCTTTTACTCATTTTCCAAAACTTTCCATTTTGAAAATCACCTCTTGGGGCAGAGAGTAGAAAGACTGCAGTATACAGGTGGATAGTTGTCAGACTGAGATGGGTTTGAGCTTGTGAGAAATTATCCATTGCTGCTGAAGCTAAAGTCTGGAATACTTAAAAAGTGCTGATTTGGGCCCTCAGAAACATGTGCTGTCGGTTTTAACTCAATCATAAAGCAACCTATTTGCATTTAGCATTTAGTATTTACTAAATAGCATTTAGTATTTACAACCAGTTAGCATTTAGTATTTACTTTGTTCTGAGCACTGCAAATAATACAATATCAATGCATAACGTTCCCAGTGAGACTGCCCTTACCCCATGTACACTTCAGGGAACTGGGTCACAGAATTTGTGAAAGAAATTTGATCAGACACCTAAGTCCCAGACCATCTGGTTCCAAAATTCTGCTCTGAAGCACAACACCATAGTCACAGAAACTGTTTTACCAAGATTTAGCTGACCTTCCCTCTGATGGAGGTAGTGAGCCTAGCATCCTTCTGGTTATTAGGCAGTTAGTAGACACTGAAGGTATTTTTGACAGATGGTCTTCATCTGTGTATACACCTCTTGCCTGAGTAAGGAGTTTATACTAATTAATTTTTTGTATGTGTATCATATTCTCAGTGCTTTTGTACATTGTTCAAGGATAATAATCCTGTTTGCTTTTTTTATAATTTAGCATAGAATCTGATGTGTTTACCAAAAGTGTTAAATGCTGAGGCTTATTTGGCAAATATTTCTTGAATAGCTTATGTATTCCAGATACGGATTTAGTCATTTTATCCTGCTTCTAAAAAGCTACACTTAATGATGTTTAAAGTGCTCTGTATTAAAGGCCCTGGTCTATTACTTAAAGGATAAACATGACCAGTGATTTGGTGTTTCTTTTTTAAATTGAGCTTCTTCCCAAAAGTTCAGTGCATACTCAGCTTATGATGGTAGATTGTTCTAGATTATCTACTCTTAAAGTTACTTTACCTCTTTTTTTTTTGGTGACTTGCCTTTGAATCATTTCATTAAGTATTATTAGCCAGAGGACAGACAGGAAAAGGACAAGATGATTTTGTTGCTTATTACCTCTGATATGTTTATGTTTTGGTTTGGGGAATGATACTGTAATATCTGCATGGGGAGTGTTTTGGGGAATGATACTGTAATATCTGCATGCTGTTGCAAAGTGACCAACAGTTCCTGTTTTCTGTTAGACTTGGTTTTGGTTAAAATAGGAAATGGGGTTGTAGATTTTCTTTGGATTTCGTTCATGTCATTTTATTTTAGGGGATTTAGGTGTCTGATTTCGTTTCATTTATGTCATTTATTTTAGGGACTTAGGTGTCTGATCAGATTTCTTTCACAAGTTTACAGATTTCACACATTCTCTGTGACCCAGTTCCCTAAAGTGTAAATGGGATTTTTTTTTGGATTTCGTTTATTTCATTTTATTTGACAAGCACTGCTCTTACTAGTTCCATGCCCTGTTCTACATACTCATTGAATTCTATGGGAAGGTACTACTCGTTTTTATAAATTGATACAAGTGAGGCACAGAGAGATTAATAATATGAGGTAGTTAAGGGGCAGAGCTGGGATTCAAACCTGGGCACTCTAGTGCAAGCCAGGTGCTTTTAACCACTGTGGTACTAAGGTCTTTCATTGTACCTAGTCTGAATTCAGTAGTCCTTTTTTTTTAAAAAAAAAAAAAGTCTGTGCCCAACGTGGGGCTTAAACTCAAAACCCCAAGATCAGGAGTTGTATCCTGTATTGACTGAGCCAGTCAGATGCCCCCTGAATTCAGTAGTCTTAATTTCTTCATCCCATTCTATTCTAAGAAAGAAAACCCCACTTAGATGAACAGATTTTGAAGTATAGAAGCTGACTCAATAATGCACGTTAGAATTTTGATTAGATTTTTGTAAAGTGCTTTATGAGTGTTACGTTTATGGTAAACATCATCTTTAGACAGAAGGTGTTTAATTAAATTCTTCTGTGCTTCCTCCTAGTTACTTATATCAAATTGCACATCTTGGAGATGATGATGAAGAACCTGAATTTTCATCTGCCATGCCTCTGGAAGAAGGAGACACGTTCTTCTTCCAACCAAGACCACTCAAAAACCTTGTGCTGGTTGATGAATTGGACAGTCTGTCTCCCATTTTGTTTTGCCAGGTGTGGGTCTTTCCAGTCACTTCCACAATGAGCAGTGCCAGCCAAATGTTTTTGAATCTGAACGAGTTTCAAGTTTTAAGTGCAGTTAAATTAAGATATAATCTAAGAATGAGATTCATCAGCATATCTGTGGAAATCACCAGAGTGTAAAGGTGGAAAGTGGGGAACTAAAAACCATTACATAAATCCGTAGACTTTTTTTTTTAATTCTATAACTCGTGTTCAATATAAAAATTCTAAACTGTACACAAGGTGAATGGTAAAATTCCTACCCCCAGTCTTATTTTCAACTTTCTATCCACTGAGGATGCTGCTATTAACAACTTCCTGTGTTTGCTTCCAGGCATTTTCCTTGCATCTGTCAGTACACGTGTGTGTGTGTGTGTGTGTGTGTGTCTGTGTTTAAGAGAGAGAGCGTGGAGGGGGTGGGGGGGAGAGGGAGAGAGAGAATTTCAAGCAGGCTCCAGGCCCAGCACAGAGCCCTGATGCAGGGCTTGATCTCACGATCCCGAGGTCATGACCTGAGCTGAAATCAAGAGTGACGCTTAAACCACTGAGCCAGCCGGGTGCCCCACCCCTTTCTTTTTATGTAAATAGGCTCATGTACTTCATAGTGTTGTGAAATTGACCTTTTAGCAGTTAAGAGTCTATGAATATTTGTAGTCGAAGAACACTTATATCTATCTTATTTTAACACTTCATTTCTTAAAATACTCCAGAGACATTTGGGATCAATCAGTAACAACTTTTTAAAAATATATCCTCAGGGAGGAACCCACGGTGGCCCAGGATGGGGACTGTGTCCCTGCTGCTGGCACTCAATTGTAGGAGGAATTTTGCCATGCGTTTGTATCCTGGGTTGCTGGGGTTTGAGTGACCATTAGGCACCAGCCTACCCTGTCTAGTTGATCACACTTTCAATAGAGAGAGGTTTGTTTACTTTGTGCTGGGGAAACAAGTCAGGATTAAGGCACTATTCCTGGTAAAATTAACCATTCTTGAAATGAACTGCTCTTGTTCTTTCTTTTTGAGAAGATTAGCCCTGAGGCAGTAGAAAATACTAAGTAATTCCTGAATAGATTATTAGTGATTTCCCCCCCCCCTTTCATTGGAATTTGAGGAGATAATTGTGTAAATAGTTTGTAGGTAAAAAAATTAACAGAAAGTTCCGGTATCTGTAGTGGGGCTAAGCATTTTTTTGTGCCAGATGTCTTTACTAGTCTGGTGAGGCAACTGGATTTCTTCTCTGAATAATGTTTTTATATATATGTATATATTTAAAGATTTTATTTAGAGAGAAAGTAACGCGTGTCTGCGTGTGTACACGCACATGTGAGCAGGGGGAGAGAGAGACTCTCAAGCAAACTCCGCGCAATTTGGAGCCTCATGCGGGGCTTGGTCTCATTAACCCTGAGATCATGACCTGTGCTTAAACCAGGAGTTGGACACTTAACTGAGTCACCCAGGCGCTCCCCCTGCCTTTTTTTTTTTTTTTAAGATTTGTCTTTGAATATTTTCATTTCATTTTATTTTTTTAAGATTTTATTTATTTATTTGACAGAGAGAGGGAACACAAGCAGGGGGAGTGGGAGAGGG